AGGGAGACAGGGGAAAGAGCGAAGGAGGAAACGAGGGAGACAGGGGATCAAGCGGCAATGACGGAAACAGAGGAGAGAGGGGAAAGGGTGGAGGAGGAAATGAGGGAGACAGAGGATCAAGCGGCGATGAAGGAAGCAAGGGAGAGAGAGGAAAGGGTGGAGGAGGAAACGAGGGAGACAGGGGAAAGGGTGGAGGAAGAAACGAGGGCGAGAGGGGATCAAGCGGCGATGAAGGAAGCAAGGGAGAGAGGGGAGCTGGTGGCGAACAAGGAAACAGGGGAGAAGACAGAAGAACCGGGATCGTGAACCCTACCAAGGACCATGGAAATGCACAGGACAACGGACCCAACAGGACATCCACAAAAGGAGCAATCGAGGAAGAGCTTTCCAGTCGAGTGACTCCAATCGCATCTGCAAAGCGCGACAGCAGCGACGCAGCGAAGACCGAGCCGGAATCCGTCAAAACTCCCCCCGTGTCCCCTTCAGTAAGCTCTTCGTTTCTTGCTTCTTTTAATCTGGGATTAGATTAACGGATTAATTAGATCAATGGAGGAAACCGCATCACCGGTATCCAATACCGAAAGTTCACACTTTTGGGCCCGGGCATTTGAAAAAGCTGACGCCATAAGGCCTTCATTCCATTTGCATTCCGATCTAAATTTATGAGCTCCAAAGCTGTCAAATTGCATCTGCACGATGAACCATGCATGATAATTACGACCGTTAGCATAATTTTTGGTAAGAGGAAGTCCTCCAGGCCTTTTCCGTCGCTCCGGTTCTCACCGAAGGGTGCCAACGGACGAACAATCAAGCTTTTAAGGAACATTTGGAATTAGATTCCGATCGTTCGCGCCCGAAATCTGCCGCTTCTGATGGCATCCGCGTTCACGCCAAGAGCGAAGTCGAACGGGGTCGGGAAAGAGTGCGCGCCAAATCGGACATGGCAGAGAAACATCGGCCATGTCACGATCGAATCACAAGAGCCCAGGGCACAGGGGAAACCAGCGAAACTCGAACGCTTCAGGAATGTGCAACTTGACTTAGGCTTAGGCTGAAGGTATCGGTTACTGGTAGGAATTGCTCTCTGGTGATTAAACTCATCTCCCTGTAGTTGCCCTGTTTTATTGAACAAGCCGTACCGCCAATGTCCTGAGATTTTTATTATTATCGTGAGAGTATGAGCATGGCATCTGACGGATGTTGGATGTGAGGCAATCGCGTTTCGGTTGTAGGGAGCCTCCATGAAACATTTTCCGTAGAACTCGGGGTTCAACCGCGATTTAGTGAATGAGTTTCTCCGGGAATATGTCAATTGCAGGGAAATATCCCTGCAGTTCGGACCGATTGCCTCGTAACACCTGACCGCACGTTCGGTTTAAGGCTGCAAATTCACGGGTTGGCGCGAGACTCCCGGTTCGACTCCTGGTTTATGCGAGAGCGACTCGGAACAGATGCGGCTTTCCGGCAGCTGACTTCGCGGCTTCTCTTTCGATCGGGAAGGAAGAGAGATCGCAGGCTTTAATGACTACGATTGCCATCGTTTACGGGAGGACGCCCGAGAATGGTGGCAATTATAGTCATCAGCCTCTCGTTTCTGCCGGCTGCGAAAACCCGATGATGCAAAAATATCAGATCATCCAATGCTGCCGCGGGAATTGCGGCACGCGCTGGTCCACATCGGTCTTTCGAGGAAACGCCGCCCGAAACAGTCGCAAATTCACGCCCCACCCAGGAGAAAATGTTCTATAGAATTTCTATAGAATTTCCATAGAATAATTCTTTAGAGATCCTATAGAATCTCAATAAACTGAAAGAGATCACACAGAGACTTTTGATAGTCTTAGGATTTCCTTTGGGCAATACCTCACAGATCTATTTCCACTCTACTGAAGTCCTGAGGGACTACCTAATCCATGATTTCCCTAGATATAATAATTTTATTTGCTTTGAGATCATGCAAACCATCTACAAGAAGCACAACAATCTGGGTATTAAAAATTCACTTAATGATAGTGATAGGGTACATCTCCAATTAATGAAAACTTAAGATGACATATGATCTCTTTACAATTAAAATGCATAACTCTAGTGGATTGCATACATTTATAATTAGTTATTCAATATAAAAATTACCATTTGAAATTGTTAGAATTTTACATATATCTGTAAAATACGAACTTATACTCCCAACTTCTGAATCAAGTTGAAACATGTACCAGCACAAAACAAAGCACAATACACAGGAGACACTTGAAGAGGTACGTCCTGTATTTCCAGGAGAAATGAGCACAGAGAAGACATAATTATAGAATAAGATATGAATACATTAAGAGATGGCTTTTACTTCCTTTCAAGGTCCTTGATTGTCTGCCAGATGACATCAAGACATTGTTTGTGCATTTTGTCTTCTCCATTGCAAAACCTGTTAAAATGAAAATATGTACAAATCAACTTCTAATCAATGAAAATATTACATGCATCAAGTAGTTACAATTTCAAATTAACTACCATGAACTTTGAAATTATGTTACAAAAACCGTTAGACCTCTTCCCATTACATGTAGCACATCTTGGTTAATGATTAGCTCAAAAAGTCTCGCGACAAAGCTACTAGAACTACGCTATAGGCCAAGCAGCCCACAGATGACGTTCAGCATGTACAGAGATGACGATGCCCAAATTGTCCCTGGTGAGGGAAGCCTTATTCCCACATATGGACATCTATGAATTGACCTACACCCCGACAGGTTACTAAAAGCTTTTATCCATCTAGAGATAAACAGGACGAGAAAGGAACTCGATCACCGGTATTTTAAGAAAACACTGGGAATATAAATTTGCCGCAATCCGAGCCTGTATACATGTTCGAAAACAAGTCCTCGTTATTGTAAGAATGAAATATTCAGTTCCCCCACTGAAGTATGATATTTGAAGAAAAAGTCTTGCCTCTTTTGAAGTACAAAAATCTTAAATTGCTGAATAAGAAATCCTGAGGCATGTCCATTGCATTTCAACCTCTGA